AGGAGGAATTGTAAAACATTGTATGCTGCTTTCAGGAGGATGGAAGGAGAGCATGTGAAGGAAGGAGAATCTGTTCAGCTCCATCCTCTGAGGGAAAACCTGCAGCTCAAGCCCCATATAAAAAATAACACCTTTCCAGATCCCTGATCTGATGTAATTCAGGCAGAGAGTGATAGGAGGATGTAGCATTAATCTGAAACATGGTACGTCTGGAGAACTGAAAACTCCCCGATCCCTGAAACTCAGGTAAACCACAAATCTTGTCTAAAGTCTCATCACTAATTAATTTACTTGTCTGGCTGTTTGTTTGAGCCGGACATGCATGACACCCTGCTCTCTGCAAAGGTAATTGAAGAGTCTAGGCTTAAAGGGGAAATTTGTTTAGAGAAGCATGGTGGTCAGCTAAGTTGTGTCTTCAATTAGTTTTTTTTCCCCCCATTAAATAGTTGACTGAAGAGAGAGAGAGAAACGAGTAGCTGTGCTGTTTCTGTGGTCTTGAATGGATTCTTCCACCGGCCTTTTTGCTCAGCCTGTCGGGAGCCAATTATGAGCAAACTCAGCCTTTCTGATTAATACATGATTGCTGCGAAAGAAGAGACACACAGAAAACTGGTCTTATGGATTGAAAACACCCATTATCATCACCGTGCTCGTTCATGTGATTTACTAGGCACATTGGACTGTTAGCCATAAAGATCAGGCAACTGTGCAAAACATGAGGCTCAATTATCGCACAGGACCCACACAATGACTCAACTGACACAAATTCAAAGTTGCTTCAGGCTCTCTGTTCACCTGCTGAAAGTCTATCCACAGCACTCAACAAACAGAGACAACTCACTAAGTGAGACAAACAATGATTAACCAGACTGAAACCTTGCATCCATTTTCCTTTACGATTATCCCAAGTGGGGTCACGAGGGGTGCTGGTGCCTATCTCCAGCTGTCTACGGGCGAGAGGCGGGGTACGCCCTGGACTTTTCACCAGTCCATCACAGGGCAACACAGAGACAAACAGGACAAACAACCATTCACGCACACACTCACACCTAAGGAGAATTTAGAGAAACCAATCAACCTGGGAAGTCGGAGTATCTAGAGAGAACCCACACATGCAAACTCAATGCAGAAAGACCCCGGGCTGGGAATTGAAACCCGGAACCTTCTTGCTGCAAGGAACCATTGTTACTCACTGCGCCACTGAGCAGCCCAGTCTAAAACCAAGGGCAGCAAAACAATAACTCTGATCTTATTCAAATGCATCGCTGTGCCATTAAAAGCCACAATAATTTAAGCATGTGAGGGCCACACTACATTGAGGCACACAAGGGATTCTTAATTTTTTGGCTTTCAAACCCATTTGTACAGGTCTTTTCAGAAATTATATTAATGGGACAAAAACCCTGCATGTGGATACAAAGACAACCAATATATTAGATCATATATTGAGTGATGCTGCTGTGCTCTTGTTCCAAAAAGGTTAAAAATAAACACACTGGACTTTGTTTCCAAGTTTAAAAACGTTTTGGTTCCCATCCAGGAAGCTTTTTCAATTCCTTTTCAAATGCTGTGCTCTTGCTTATTTAACTAAAATAAATAAATGTACACTCAACCCAGAGTAAAGGTTTAAAACAATTATTTTGTGGGTACCTACTGTAACACACCAATTGCTGCTCTCCTCTTGTCAGCTGGATGAAGGAAGCCTCTATTCTTTCTCTTCATATAGAGAAAGAAAATATTTACTGTTTTTTGAACATTTCTGATCATTAGTTTTGAAAAATCCTAAAGGACCATCACTCATAGTATGGTAACACTGTTTTAAAACTGCAGTCTATAAGCTTCAAGGAACATCTGTGCTAAACAGTTGACTGCAGGCTCTACCCAAGGCCAAAAGACTGCCTAATTAATCAGTTTCTATCAACACCAGAGCACTAAACATATAATATTTACAGCTATGCGCAACTTTGCATGAAAGCTATCACTAAACTTAGTGAGTTAGCATCTAGATGCTTATTTCATATCTCTATGTAATTATATGCCAGCTTAATGCCATATTTACAGCATTACAGAAAATGTGAAAAAAAACAAATCAATATAATTCGGTTTGATAGATTAATCAATACTAAACACTCAGGACTTTGATGTTAATTGATAAAGAAACTAAATTAAAAAGTCTTAATTCAAAACTACCGGTAACTCGTTGTTTTGCACTGCTGAAACATAAAAAATTAGGGCTTAAACTTTTGCTTATTTTGCCAATCGATTAATCTGTCGATAGTCGATTAAAAATTGGATAGCAAAAGGTTTGTTAAAGAAGATCTTTTTTTTTTTTTTACAGAATTTAAACCAGGTTAAACTACAACTTTTCCACTTGAAGACTTTTGGATAGGGAATCTTGGTATAATTACTGCTCTAAGTGGGGTGCTCTGTCAGTTAAAGGCATATTTAGAGTCTCTATACTCCAATTAACAACTAATTAGTAACTAAATTAGATGACATGCATTTCAATAATCAATTAATCACAATTAATCTAATTAAATGTTTTCACCCTAAAATTAGTATGATGTATTTATAAACTGAAAAGTTAAAAACTGACACGGCTGTGTCTTTTTGTCTGATGTTGAATAGGCATACAAGTCTTAAATTATCACAAGGAGCCCTGTAGAGGATTGGTAATCAATATAATAAGCAAATCTAACAGATCACATCATTATACACATAATAACCAACAAGGTATATTATCGTAATGGCAAAAAAAATAATTATTGCTCTACTACTTTAAGTAAAAGCACTTACACCGTGTTTTTTTATTCTTTACCCTTTACTAAATCCAGTTTTTCTTAGTTTAACTCAGCCATTTGTATAAGAAAATATTTCCTAAGATTCCTCTTGCCATGTCTTCACGTCTCTTAAACCAACAAAGGAGCCAGCAGCCACTCCCAAAATGCAGGCCATACTTCTCCACAAATCATACCATTGCAATAAATGTCATTTTGTCCTAAGATTGCCAACACAAAGACAAATCAATATCAAACTGCCCTTCAGTTCATGCACATGGATGTCTACTTACACAGCCAGCCTGTCCAGCTATTTGAAATATTCCGAGACTCCTCAGGCCGCACAGCTGATAAAAAAGCAGCTTCGCAGGGCCAACTGCTCTCTTGGGACGCTGTGGAAGAATTAACGGCCAGATGCCCATTAGACGGTGATCCAGCAGACATGTGCTGGCTGGGAGGAACTGTGCATCACACTTCGACTTCCCTTTCACTTTTATGCCTCAGCCGTTGCTCCAGGGGTGAAGAAGGAGGGACGGGGGTGGGGGGTGGCACTTTATAGCCTCTATCTACTTGTAAGAAGCGAAGGCACCCCTCCTCCTCCTCCTCCTCCTCCTCCTTCCAAACAATTTAACAATGCAACACCTACTCAGGTGTACCTACTCAGTGACCCCTAGCCAACATATTGACATGCTCAATGTGTTTTTGTGCTAGAAAAAGGTTGACCACCCACTGAACTGATTGTTTAAGCATATCCATCTGGCTACCTTCATTTCACTTTAGAACAGGCTGGCAACACAAAAGAACTTGCAAAACCACCCACTTTTTGACCTTGCCCTCCAAGTCAGAGCTGTAGAGTTTTTTTAACACAACCTAGTTAATTATTTATACAGTTCAGCTTCCAGAGTGAGCAATCATTTTACTGATGCTCCTCTTTTCCCAGTGATTCAAACTGCAATGAAATATCTTTTGCATCAATGCTGCACTTTTTCTGCAGCCCGGCTTTGTTTTGGCTCCAGTGATCAGTCAGCTCCTCCTTTAATGCTGAAACAGAAGGAATTCAGAGCTGATGGTCTTACAGAAGGTCACCTGTGCTACTATTGTAATGATGACTGCCTATTTGTGTTTGTGTGAAAGGGCTTCCAGCTGACTGAAAAAATATAACCTAACTGCTTTTGGCATCTACTTAATCATATTTAGTATCTTTAACACTATTGTTTCATGTTATCATGGTGGGACCTGAAAAAAATGGTGTTAAGAAACTAAATAGATTAAGTAGATGCCAAAAACAGTTTCATTATGTTTTTGAGTGTCACTTATATTGAGTCTTTTCTACAAAAATGTTACAGCGTTTAAACGTTTCACATAATTCAAAGAGGATATCCAACAAAATCCAGTCAAAAAAAATTTGTTAAAAGTCAAATGTTTCTAATAGATCCGAGCAAGACGAAATAAAGAAATCAAATGGAGAAAAAAAAGAGAAACGTATTGAAAATGTCAACTATTAGTCACCTCACCACAAAAATGTGACTTTAGGGTAGACTGGCAGGAAGAAAACGATTATACCCAAAATACCACCTGCGCCAGAAAACTAAATGTGCAAATTTTTATATGCTCATCACCAAACAAGGTAGTGGCAGCATCATGCCTCTTGGATACTTCTTTTGTTTGTTTGTTTATTTGCATGCTGAACAAAATAGACAACAATCCTACAAGAAATTCCAATTAAGGAGACAACAAAAAACGTGAAAACTGAGAGGAGGTACATTTTCCAGCCAACCAAGACATCCGAGATCCTGAACAAACGCCCAGAGCTGCACATGATGGTTCACATTAAAGCTTTATCCCCTGTTTAGACCTGTTCACTTAAAGTTCACATAGAAATTATAACTGTGCCCCAGGTTGTAATACGTAAAAAGGTCAACACCATGATGCGCACAATCAGGTTATTTCTCCAAAGCAGGCGGTTGATGCCCAATTTGTCCTCCATACACACGCGCGTTTGGGGCGCATTGCTGAGAGCTGATCCGCGCTGCTACAAGCCTGCAGTCTGTGTCCAGATCACACCGAGACTCACAGACGCCAAGACAAGACAGACACACAGACAAACACAGCAGGCTGGAAATACCCGCTGAAATATTATTACAGACGCTTATTACGGAGTAAACGCGCTCGGAGAGGAAAGGCGCAGTAGCTTTACGCGAATCTGTCCAGTGGACTACTTACCTTGGGGGGGAAAAAGAAAGAAAAAAGGGGAGAGGAGTTCCGTAAGACTGGTCCAAACTTAGAAGATAAACTGTTTTTTTTTTAAAAAGCCTTGAACAACACCAGTCCACCAGAATGATTAAGAATAATCCAGGAGATTCCGGAGAGTGCAGTTCAGCCAAAACTCAGGTTACAGAAAAGCGCTCTGGCTGTAAACTCCCATTTCACTTGTCATTTAAAAATACATACCTCTCTAAGACTTTTCACCAACTAATGGATTTCATATCTAAGCTACAGATAAGGAGCGCACAGCAGAAGACATCCGCTCTCCAGTCTGTCTCTAAATGTGAGCCCCGGACGCACCGCCTGCTCTCCAGGCTCAGCAGCCGCGCCAGCAGGCGCCGCCAGGTGCTCATTTACATGACTGCACCGGCTGCGTCCAATCACAGCTGCGAGCAAGGTGTCTGATTGAATATTTCAGGAAGCTGCTCCGCCAATCAGAGCCTTCCTGGGGAGGGATTTACCAACTGATTAACAGCGAGGAAATGCACATCACACAGGACAGGGAAACACTACTAACATCTATGAGCAATTCAGAGAACATTTAGCTTTGTGTGCTTGACTGATGGTGTGTGTGTGAAAAGAGCTGTAAATGGAGAAAAATGTTCCAGTCTTGCTGACCATTGCCTTGCAATGGTCATTAGTTTGGCTTTATTGATTTCTTTTAGACCATTGAACACTAAATTAGATAGAATATGTGTGTTTGCTAAATAAGTAATAATTTTACATATGTAGCTATTTATGTAGATCTGTGTACATGCATCATAAGGTGTAATGGAATTACCATGTTACACAACCAGACGCAGCCTTAAACTTGTATTAAGTTAATTTGCTAAAATTACTAATTAATTAATTTGATAACTTTAGCTGTGCAGTTTTGTCTCAATTTGGTTTATTTATATAGCATCAATTCACAACATGTCATCTTAAGACACTTTAGAGACAATACAATCAAATAATAGTGTTAGGACTGGGTAAAAAGTTTCTGAGAAAACCCAGCTGATTGCATCGATTCATCAACTTTGGCAGGATTCGCCTCTCCTGGTTAACAATATGTCAACAGACAACATTCATGTGGCTACAGTGGACATTTGCTTGCATTGTATTGTTGACTCTGACCGTCCCTCACAGCCTCAGCATGCATACAGAGACCGATAAGAGAAAAAAAACAAAACATTTTAATAGGAATAAACCTCCAACAGAATCAGGCTCAGTGTGAACAACCTTCTGCATAGGCCAAATGGGAGTCCTTCAAAGTCAATGTTTCAATGCAATCAACTGTTTTTTCTTACATAGAAAACTTGAAACCTATCTGACATTATGACCTGGTTCAATTGTCTCTGTAAAGTGCCTTGATATGACATGTGTTGTTAATTGGTACTATATAAATAAAATTAATTGAATAAAGTAAACGGAAATGGCCTTAGTGCTGATAGTTGTCGTACTCCAGAAGTAACTCTGAAGCATGAAGAAGATACACTATTATTATCAAGAAATTAATTAATTAATTAATCTGTCAGACCAATAAGATTTAAATCAGTCTATTGCTGTTTTCTACAGAAATTTAGAGCCTTTCTAAAATGATATTGTGTTCAACTGTATCAAATGCAGCACTGATATCTAACAGGAGAAGTACAGGTCTTTATCTGAGGCCATGAGAATATCATTAGTG